CACTAAACACGCTACCAAAGTGCCTGGCAAAAGCATTCACAATAGATTGGGGAGTAGGGTTTCGTTACTGTATGACATTTTCCCGGGAATCCTAGTTTTATTTTGTTTGGATTGAATATATGACCAAAAACGTCGGGGATTTAGTTTAATGTTATTTTCTGAATTTTGAATGAATCTATTATAACAGCAAGTTATATCACGTTTTACAATTAGTCTTAGGTTTTTATAACGTTGTAGATAAAAGAGAAGTTTATGTTTATTATACAATTTTAGAAAGTGTTGTTTTTTTTTTAAGCTAAGTATTAAATCACGAGAATACCAGATTGGGTATTTTCTAGTTTTAGTTGACTTTAGCGGAACACACTGAACAATAAGGGTCTGGATAATTTCATTAAATTTATTACATACCGAGTTCACATCAGGATGATGATTAAGCTGTTCCCACTGTACATTATTTAACAAGTTAGTAAATTTTTGGTTGTCCATTTTCCTAAAGTTGTAACGTTTTTTATTAGTAATAAATAATTTTTCATTTTCACAATTTATCTCCAAATTCACAATTAAAGCAGGATGATGGTTGTCAATTAATACCAGGGGATGTAGGTTTTGAAAAACCTTACAAACTAGATTTTCAGGGCAAAGAACCAAATCCAGTATTCTATTGTTATAGTTTTTTACAAAATTATTCTGCTTCAGGTTACAGAAGTTAATTAATGAGTTATATCGAGAAACTAGGTTTGTAATTTGATGAAATTCATAATAATTTATCAGATCAGTTATATTAAGATCACCTAAGATTATTGAATTACCAATTTGATCAAAATTTTCAAAAAAATCAAACAATACATCATACTCTTCAAAAGTAGTAGCTGGAGGTATATATACTAAAAATACAAATATTGAAGAGAAGTTAATTGTTATTTTCACACATAATAAGTCAACAGTATCAATCGGAGATGTAGTTTCGTGTAACTCTGATGAATGAACATTGGAGTCAACCGCAACTAAAACGCCTCCACCACGAGATCCAAAAGTGCGGTCTTGACGGTAAACTATATAATTATCGGGAAACAATTCGGCATTATGTACTCCAGTCCTCAACCAAGTTTCAGCTACAGCGACAATTTTGGGTTCAAGTGATAAGATACTTTGGAAGAATATGTGGGTTTTTGAAAATTGATTGATTGATTGAAATTAATAATTGATTCTCGCGAAAAAGTTGCCTCATCAGTAAATAAAATTAGAGTCAAAAAAATGTAGATATGAGCAACTTTATGGAGTAACCACCTACTAAAATTTAGCCTTGGCTGAAAGTCGCTGAGCAACAGAGCTTGCACTCGTTGTATGTGATATGGGTAAAGCAGAGAAACTTTCAAAACTCTCCAAACAGTATTTGCATTTACTTGAAGCTGTTGTGCAATCTTCCTGGTACTAGTTGAAGGATTTTCTTCTATCTCCTGTAGTATAGCTTCTTCTAGCTCAGGCGTTGTTACTGTTCGTAGTCTACCAGGAACTACCCGATTATGCTCAAAACTACCGGTTTCACTCAATCCGGCATGTATCTTTCTAAATGTTTTAGCACATGGCGTTACCCTATTCGGATAACGTTGCTGATAAATTCTTCTAGCTTCCGCTGAATTCCCATTTGCTAAGCCATAAATGAAGTGCATTTGAGCCATTTCAGCGTTAGTAAAGTTATTCATTTTAATGTCTGACATACAAATAAATAAACAATTGGCGACTAGTAAAATGTCAAACAAGTACCTGGGAAAAATTGAAGATAACTTTTTTGTTGAACATTGTTCAAAGGGATTAAAAATATAAAAAAGAATGAAAAAATTTACTGTCTTTGTTGCTTTTTCTTCCAAATCGAACATTAAAAACAGAACAGTGGCGTAACACGTTTTTCCTTCCATATTTTTCAGCGATTAGTTTGATTAAAATATGTTAAGTGGTTTTGGAAATATTTAAAAAATTGTATTTTTTTTTATGAAACTTTCACACCCTGTATTTCCGTAACGAATTGTTTTTGAGACATAATGTATATTAGACTGGGCCAAAAAAATAAAACAATTTTTTTTCTTAGCGGAACTATGAAAATATTTTTCATGACGACAAAAAAAAATTAATAATATTAAGAGGTGCATCATTGCAGTTATTGATTTTTCAACAGTTGTCGCGTTTTTGCATAAATTTCGGACTTGGTCAATTTTAATTCTGAAAAAAATCTGATTGAAAACGGGGTTAAGGGTCTGTTAAACTGTGAGAGTATAATATAGAATGCCAAGCATTATACAAGTGTTCAATAAGTACGGTACATAACTTCAGGAGCGTATTCTGGAGCAAAAATAAAGGTATTTTTGTCATATACATTAGACTGGGTCAAAAAAATAAAACAATTTTTTTTTCTTAGCGGAACTATGAAAATATTGTTCATGGCGACAAAAAAAATTTTCCTGAAAGTTTGAGCCCTTAATAATAATATTAAGAGGTGCATGCATCATTGCAGTTATTGATTTTTCAACAGTTGTCGCGTTTTTGCATAAATTTCGGACTTGGTCAATTTTAAAAAAATTTTTCATCTCTTATCCTTGTAGGAAATTAAATTCCCCACAAAAAAGCTCTCTTAGTAAATTTTCGTAAGACGAGTCTATTCTTTGTAATCGAGCCTTAAACATTGGTATATATTTTCAATTTTTCACTTTGCATTTGGGATTTCCAAAATGAACTTAAATATTAAGATTACAAAGAATAGACTCGTCTTACGAAAATTTACTAAGAGAGCTTTTTTGTGGGGAATTTAATTTCCTACAAGGATAAGAGATGAAAAATTTTTTTAAAATTGACCAAGTCCGAAATTTATGCAAAAACGCGACAACTGTTGAAAAATCAATAACTGCAATGATGCACCTCTTAATATTATTATTAAGGGCTCAAACTTTCAGGAAAATTTTTTTTGTCGCCATGAACAATATTTTCATAGTTCCGCTAAGAAAAAAAAATTGTTTTATTTTTTTGGCCCAGTCCAATGTATATGACAAAAATACCTTTATTTTTGCTCCAGAATACGCTCCTGAAGTTATGTACCGTACTTATTGAACACCTGTATAATGCTTGGCATTCTATATTATACTCTCACAGTTTAACAGACCCTTAACCCCGTTTTCAATCAGATTTTTTTCAGAATCAATAGGCTTCATCCCCTTATAAAGTTTTTCTGAAGAGATCAATTTGATATCGTTTATTGATATCATTCAATATTTCAACAAAATAATCACTTATTACTTCCGATTCTACACTCGTCCCTAATTAATCTACGAAAGTTCTAAAATTTTTAATGATCTGCCAGATATCTATGCCAGATATCTACATATTTTTACTTTCCTATCTGTATACAGATGTAAGGAAAGTATAGGAATCATGATTTTTTCGACTTCGAGTTTTCGACGGATTTTTACGTTTTGAGGTCCCCTGAATCCGATCACAGAAAAACACCAAATTTTAAACTTAAGCTTTGTTCCAGCGTCCAATGATTAATTTTTTTCTCCAAACATTAATAACAGATATATTCCATAAAATATAAAAGTGGCCTCCCATAAAGTACCCCCCCAGATGTTCCGACTATGTCCAAAATCTAATTATTTCACGTCAGGCCGAAATAAAACTTAAGTTTAAAATTTAATGTTTTTTTTTCATCCGTTTTTGAGTTTTCTTCAAAATTCGAAATTTACACATTTTCTCAAATATCTCGAATACGGTCCATTTTAGAGAAATTATGTATATAATAAAAATTATAGAGAATTATATTACAAACAACTTTTAAACAATTTTTATAAAAAAATATTTTTTTTACGTTTTGTCAAATTTCTCGAATACGGACCATTTTAGGAAAATTTTGTATAATACAAAAATTATAGATAATGATATTAGAAGTAACTTTTATTTAAAGAATTTTCTTCTCCAAACGTAAATAACAGATATATTTCATCAAATATAAAAATGACCACCTATAAAATACCCCCCCAAATGTTCCGACTCTGCCCAAAATCTAATCAGCTCATTGGACGCTGAAACAAAGCTTAAGTTTAAAATTTGGTGTTTTTCTGTGTATCGGTTCATGAGTTATTTTTCTTATAACTGAGATGGCTGCGATCGATAAGAATGACTCGGTAGTAGGTACATTCTTGATAACAATTATTGAACAATTGCTGTCATGTTAGTGTGTTTATGTCAAATCGATTTAATTATACTTTATTTAGTTTTTCTCTTATTCAATTAAAAATGTTTCTTTTCGAATTTGATGTATATGTGGATTATAGACTACTATTTTACAATAGCAAAAAAATATCGTCAGCTGTAATAAAAGATAAATCAAAAAAATAAAATAGAATGTTTAGATAGCGGAGCCGCTTTACTTTTGCAGTCTGGGCACTAAACGTACTTTTTAGTAGTTCATTTGTAGTATATTTAAAAGTTCTCCTTTTAGATTATTTTTTCTGTCCGAAAAACGATGTTTTATGTCACATTCGAATAAAAACTACTATTATTTAGGAATACTATAAAAAATAATTGAAAAACTATTTTACAATCTGCAGGAGTTCTATAATAAATTTTAAAATTAAATATATTTTTTCTGATGTGACGGGAACCGTGGACGGGAAAAAGTTTGACATTTTATTTGGCAGGTAACAAAATGTCACTTTTTATGAAATTACTTTTTTCTCCGGGAAAAAATTAGTTCTATAGATATTTTAAACAATTAATTTTAATCCGATTTTTATATTTTTTAGTAATATGAACATTAACATCTACATATTAAAAAGTATATTATTATTTTAGCAGCGAAGCAGAGTCGATTAGAATCACCCGGTATATTTAAAAAATCAAAAAGTATGGATTTGACAACAAAAAGTGAAAACGTGACTCGCGAGCCACGCGTTTCTCGTTTCTGGTCTAGAGTGATTAAAAAAATACATTCAAAATAATTTAGAAAATCTCACCTCTTTCATAAAACGTCCTATAGTAATTCAAATAAGCAGGATCGTAGCAAAAATGTTGAAAATTCTCCAAAGGTAGCCCATGGTGAGATTCACTGCCTCTATGGTATGGTGAATTCAGTCTATTCACTAAAGTCTGATGCAAAATACTACTTTGATCACTACAATTAGATTGTCTATCCACATGTATATCCCCTATTCTATTTTCCACAGGTGCGTTTTCCACTATATTCTCTATTTCGTTTTTTTGGTAAGAGTTTTTTGTATTTAAAATATCCTCTATCAAGAAAGACATTTTTTCGAGTTACCGGTTAAAGCGCTCCCAAGTATTAAACGAGCAAGTATACGTGCGTATTTTGCGGTATGTCATATTCCTGTAGCTAGATTAATTTTTTGATAGGGAGAAATATTAGTTTAGTTGGTATTAACTAATTATTTGTTGTGGTTTTGGTAATGCAGGGTCGGATTTTTCTCGTTTTATTCGGATAAAAAATATGTGACGAATGACTATACAAATACAATAAATTCGGCTGATATACGCCATATTAGTAACGACGTAATTTGTGTTCAAATGACGGAGATATTAAAAAGAATACAAATTAGGTAATGTCTCGGAAATACCCCAAATCCATTCGTTTCTTTATTATTTAAATGAAAAATGGATAAAACAAAAAGTTACTAGTTTTTGGCACATTGTAGGTTAATTACATCAGGTGGCAGTTATCAAAACAACTTTGAATTTGTCAAATTGTTAAAAATTTGTATACTTTGATAATTAAAAAGTTTTTATAAAATACTTACCAAAATGGTAAAACAATTTAGTGATCAATCAAAAACTTTGATCCTAAACGTAGTTTCCTATTTTAAGAGAAACAAATCTATTTGCGAGGCTCTTGGAAAGAGCTACAATCAAATGGCTACAAAAGCATTAAATATTTCGCAGAAAACTATCTATAGACTTAGTAAACCAACAAATTGTGATACAGCGTATGTGAAAATAATGTCTAAAAAAGTAAGCCAAAGTAAAACAAATGTCAATTATTTATATTAACTAAGTTGAGGCAAGTTATACAAGGTGTTTCGCATAAGTACCTACACAGAACAGGTGCGTGTTGGGCACCTAAAAATATGATGATTTAATGTAATTTACCTCTATAACAAGTTATACCCCTAAGGAGTTACGGAATCCTAAAGTGGGGCAATACATTTCGAAAAGATTTAATATCTCTGCAATCGTTTAACTTAAAAAATCTACTTATATTGAGAAAATTATTTAAGCGTTTCATGAGTCTTAATTTGGGGGTGAGTAAGAATTAATTGAAATATTTTAAGGGACGTTTTGGGGTAACCCAACCTTATAACTATACAGAATTTTTTGTTCATTGTTCGATTTTTAAAATTTGCACTATATTTTATGCAAAATTTTATTTTAAAACTTATTTTATTTTGCTATTTTTTGAGAAAAACGAGAAAAAGTTAAGTCTTTGCATTATAATAATGTTAATAAATTTAATAAATAGCAAATTATTTTTAATTAAATGGGTTTATATGATATAATAATATCTACATAATAAAAATTAAGTAAAGTTGGCGCCACTTTAACCTTCCGTAACTCCTGGAGGGTACAAATTCGTATAGAGATAAATTGCTGTAAATCATCATATTTTGGGGTGCCTAACACGCACTTGTTCTGTGTCGGTACTTATACGAAACACCCTGTATATAAGATGTACGAAGGTGCCCAACATGTAACAATGAAATCGTTACATAAACGATTTTGGGAAGAAATGCCTGATGTGAAATGTTCTGCATGGTGAATTAATACATGAATTCAAAAAATTGGCTTTCGCTTTAAAAGAAGTAACAACAGACAGTTTTTATTGATTCGAACATTGATTCAGTTAAATTGCACAATCGCGAGGAAATAAAAGAAGAGTTAGTAAACCAAAATGTAATACCTAGCTGTTTATAGAATAAAATCTAAGAGCGGCCAACTTGTTGATACGCCAAATCATGTACTTACCTTTAATACCACTGTCCTACCTAAAAATGTGAAAGTTGCCTTTTACTTACTTAACGTCAGACTGTTCGTGCCAGTTCCTCTACGTAGCCAACGTTTTGGGCAAACATCAGTGAAATGTGAAAAAGTTTATGTGGAAAACCCTTACATACAAGAAGCACCAGCTCCTGTTAGGTATATTAATTGTGACGGAACGCATTCAGCAAGATACGAAGATTGTCCTATATATATAAACAGGAAGTCGCTATCCAAGAAATAAAAACTAAAGAAAATCTCTAGTATTTCGATGCCGAAAGAAAAGTTGCTGCTAAAACCCCTAGAACCAAACCTAGAACCAATATTAGCTACTCCCAAGCAATTCGTCCAACAGCGCCTGCAACAATTAATATTAATGATCTTGTTCAATCCCTCATTCCCCATTTTGTCAAAGCTATCAGCCACCTCTTTTTACCGCCCCCTGCTACGTTCCATAATCTTCCATCATACCCGATGGCCCGATCCTATGATGAATCAGACAATCAATCTCAAAAAGATGGAAATCTGAAAGTTCTGAGATTAAATCTATAATGAGTAAAACGCCATCAAACTCATAAACAAAAAGAAAGAAAAAACCGGGTTGGCCAAAAGGCAAACCAAGAAAAACTTCAAGTGTAGAGAGTGACATAAACACTCTCAGATGAAGTCTGGGTGGGTAATATATCACAAAAATAAGATTTATTTATTTATACGTATATTTTAATTATAAGATTTATTTATGGAGAATATATTCTAATTTATTTTTATACATATATTTTAATTAATTTTTTTACTTTCCTACCTGTATACAGATATAAGGAAAGTATAGGAATCATGATTTTTTTTCAACCTCCAGTTTTCGAGGGATTTTTACGTTATGGGGTCCCCTGAATCCGCTTTGACTATTTTCGGGAGGGATGATTGTGTGTGTGTGTGTGTGTGTGTGTGTGTGTGTGTGTGTGTGTGTGTGTGTGTGTGTGTGTGTGTGTGTGTGTGTGTGTGTGTGTGTGTGTGTGTGTGTGTGTGTGTGTGTGTGTGTGTGTGTGTGTGTGTGTGTGTGTGTGTGTGTGTGTGTGTGTGTGTGTGTGTGTGTGTGTGTGTGTGTGTGTGTGTGTGTGTGTGTGTGTGTGTGTGTGTGTGTGTGTGTGTGTGTGTGTGTGTGTGTGTGTGTGTGTGTGTGTGTGTGTGTGTGTGTGTGTGTGTGTGTGTGTGTGTGTGTGTGTGTGTGTGTGTGTGTGTGTGTGTGTGTGTGTGTGTGTGTGTGTGTGTGTGTGTGTGTGTGTGTGTGTGTGTGTGTGTGTGTGTGTGTGTGTGTGTGTGTGTGTGTGTGTGTGTGTGTGTGTGTGTGTGTGTGTGTGTGTGTGTGTGTGTGTGTGTGTGTGTGTGTGTGTGTGTGTGTGTGTGTGTGTGTGTGTGTGTGTGTGTGTGTGTGTGTGTGTGTGTGTGTGTGTGTGTGTGTGTGTGTGTGTGTGTGTGTGTGTGTGTGTGTGTGTGTGTGTGTGTGTGTGTGTGTGTGTGTGTGTGTGTGTGTGTGTGTGTGTGTGTGTGTGTGTGTGTGTGTGTGTGTGTGTGTGTGTGTGTGTGTGTGTGTGTGTGTGTGTGTGTGTGTGTGTGTGTGTGTGTGTGTGTGTGTGTGTGTGTGTGTGTGTGTGTGTGTGTGTGTGTGTGTGTGTGTGTGTGTGTGTGTGTGTGTGTGTGTGTGTGTGTGTGTGTGTGTGTGTGTGTGTGTGTGTGTGTGTGTGTGTGTGTGTGTGTGTGTGTGTGTGTGTGTGTGTGTTCGATAAATTTAATAAAATGTAAAAAAAATTATTTTTTATAAAAATTGTTCAAATAAAAGTTGTTTGTAATATAATTCTCTATAATTTTTATTTTATACATAAATTCTCTATTCTCTCTTTGAGATTTTGAGATATTTGAGAAAATGTGAAATTTTGAATTTTGAAGAAAACTCAAAAACGGCTATAGAAAAAACATTAAATTTTAAACTAAAGTTTTATTTCGGCCTGACGTGAAATGATTAGATTTTGGACAAAGTCGGAACATCTGGGGGGTACTTTATGGGAGGCCGTTTTTATATTTTATGGAATATATCTGTTATTTATGTTTGGAGAAGAAAATTGTTCAAATAAAATTTACTGCTAATATTATCTATAATTATGTCAACATTTCCTAAAATGGTCCGTATTCGAGAAATTTGACAAAATGTGCAAAATTCAGATTTTTATGAAAATTGTTGAACTAAAAGTTGTTTGCGATATCGATCTCTATAATTTTTGTTTATACATGATTTTTCTAAAATGGACCGTAATGGAAAAATTGTAGGAAAAGTGCTAAATTTAAATTTTTCAGTATTTTAGTTTTCAATGAATATCTATAGAAAAATGTTTCGAGGTAGATGTATGTGGAAAATGTATATATTTAGTTTATCCTCTAAACATTTATAGAGGTGCTGCAATAATAGGTTGTACAAAATAACCAGAAAAAGCCTATAATAACTAGATAGGAAAGTCATGTGTTGGACACATCAGATTTTTTATACCTATACTTCTATTAATATATACATTAATTTTAAATGGATAATAAAAACACAATAATCCAATGGAACTGCAATGGTCTAAAATAACACATCAACGAACTCCAATTAATTAAGAACGAGCATTCACCATTGATTATTGCGCTTCAGGAGACCCACTTAAAACTTGATGAACCATTTCACTTCAGAGGATTTCATTGTTAAATTTCTTAATAATGGCAAGCAAGACATTTTTAAAAATGAAATTAGAGTATCCCTAGGGTTATGCCTCCTACTGAAATCCCTCTAAATAAAGTGGGTAATTTTCAACAATTTTTGTAATATTCGTTCCATATTAGTTATAAAAGGTTATGTTTCTGTTCATTACGCGCAAATTGTGCAAGATTCTTTACTAAAAAACCGCGCATCCCAGGAAGACAACTCATAAAACCGTGCAGAATGTTTTCATCTGATTTTGACCAAATGTATATGGAACCACCCCTGATGTACCCCCTAAAAAAGTATCATATAAATTGGACAACGTGATAAAGAATGATATCTAAACATACATATAAAAAATTCCGTGTAATTGACAACCTCAGTCAAAAATAATTTTAATTGGGGAAAAACCATTGACTTTCCTTTAAAGCTGAAAATTATTTTTGAATTCACAAATATATACACCTTTATTAACTTACACTGCATAATGCGTAATAAATATCACTAAAATATCTGAAACGGTTTCGAAAATATTAATTAATTAATTTTTTTTTTAAATCTAGTACTTCGTATTTTCGTAACGACCATTTTTGGACCATGGTTCATAAGGTAAACTATCATTAATTCACGCCCTTAAATATTCGCATATCATTACCCAGACAGCACACCAAATCCTTTGGATATCTACTGCACATCATCCCAATATCCACTGAATGTCCAGTCCATGGTGGATATCTATTTTATATCCATGATATGTAATTTATAGACATGCAAATGTCCATAAATAATAGTAATTATATAGCAAATTATTAAAAAATTACGCCATTGTGCTCGCCATTGTGGCTAATAGTACCGTTCAGATATTTAAAATTAATTTTTTTAAGGTGTATTCAATATCCCATGGACATCCACTAAATATATCAAAGTTAGGCGCGAACGCAAACCATCATGGATATCCACTAGATGTTATTTGATTTTGTTTACTAAGTATAGATGGCGATACCACTTTCGCATCTACTCATGCACGACCCGCCGTAATTGAGTTCGATCAAAATTTGTGTCCTAATCAGACTCCATTAGAGACTGGAGTCGAGAATTTCCATTTATTGCTGAAGAGTCCTAATAAGGATGACTTTCTCCTTAGTGGGCAAAATCAAAGGCAGAGTGTTGAAAATATTTTTTCTCTGCTATTTTCTTTCGACGTTATTCAATAACACCGGCACACAAAAAAAAGTTGTTTGTACATCAGACACGACCTCTACCTACCCAGACAACACACCAAATCCCAAAGATATCCACAGAATATCTTTTGTGGATATCCAATATATCCACAGGATATCAGAAATATTCCGTGGATCTAATATGGATATCCAAATGTCCGTCTATATCCAGAATATAGAAGATATCCTATGGATATTCAGCAAAATATCTAATTAGTATCTTCCAGACAATACAAGAAATCCCAGAGATATCCACAGAATATATTTTGTGGATATCCAATATCCAAATATGGATATCCAACCAAATGTCCGTCTATATCCCAGGATATAGAATTCAGATATTCAGCAAAATATTTTATAGGTATCTTTAGTAGACATTCATAAGTAACCAAATGAATGATAACGTCGAAAGAAAATAGAGATAAAAAATATTTCCAACAATCTGTCTTTGAGTTTGCCCACTAAGGAAAAAGTCATCCTTATTAGGACTCTTCAGCAATAAATGGAAATTCTCGACTCCAATCTCTAATAGAGTCTTAATGCGAAAAAATGTTCGATCAACTCAATTATGGCGGGTTGAGCATGAGTAGATACGAAAGTGGTATCGCCATCTATACTTAGGAAGCAAAATCAAAAATTACATCTAGTAGTTATCCACGATGGTTTGCGTCCGCGCTAAGACTTTGATATATGTGGATGTCCATGGGATATTGAATACACCTTAAAAAAATTAATTTTAAATATCTGAACGGTACTATTAGCCACAATGGCGAGCACAATGGCGTAATTTTTTAATAATTTGCTATATAATTACTATTATTTATGGACATTTGCATGTCTATAAATTACATTTTATAGATATAAAATAGATATCCACCATGGACTGGACATTCAGTGGATATTGGGATGTTCAGTAGATATCCAAAGGATTTGGTGTGCTGTCTGGGTACCGGCATGTATTTTGACCCGCTGAATCCGAATTTCAAGTCAGTTTGAGCTGTCCACCCTTCAATATCGAGTAAATTGTAAAAATAGTAAAAATAAGATAATTACTAATAAAAAAAAATTATGAATCGAAACCAAGCATAATTCTTATGTATTTCGATCCGCTGAATACTGCGGAGGTCATTTGAGAACAAAAAAGTTTGATACCAACAAAAAACAATTCAAAATCTGAGAAAATCTTTCGCCTCATTCAGTCCATACATCAGTTTTTAGAGATATTGCAAGGGTGGATATTGAAGGGTGGACGGCCCAAACTGACTTGAAATTCGGATTCAGCGGGTCAAAATACATGCCGGTAGGTAGGTCGTGTCTGATGTACAAACAACTTTTTTTTTGTGTGTGCCGGTGTAATCATTGGTTACTTATGAACCTCTACTAAAGATAAGATATTTTGCTGAATATTCGAATATCTTCTATATCCTGGGATATAGACGGACATTTGGTTGGATATCCATATTGGATATATTAAATATCCACAAATTATATTCTGTGGATATCTCTGGGATTTCTTGTATTTTCTGGAAGATAC